GAGAGAGAGAGAGAGAGAGAGAGAGAGAGAGAGAGAGAGAGAGAGAGAGAGAGAGCCCTCAGCAACCATCTTCCTCCCCCATGCAGCCTTTCCCCTTCTTATCGATCAGTCATATGCATCCTGGGCAGACTGTCGGTGTTCAACCCGCTGAAAGTCCAATGAACACTGGTGGAACCTTTTTTGTGGGGGGGGGGGAAGAGTTGCGTATAGCAAACTTGACAACACACCAGGGAGGAGGGGGGGAGAGGGGGGGGGAGAGAGAGAGAGAGAGAGAGAGAGAGAGAGAGAGAGAGAGAGAGAGCTCTGCAACCATATCCGTCCCTCCTCTACCTGATGTTGCTTTTCCCTTTCCTCCACCGCCCACCTTTCTCCCACATCCACCAGGTGCAGCCTTTCTTCTCTTTCCTCGTCTGGTATCATGCTGCCTTTCCAATTATTCACTCACAGGAACATACACACATACAACCTTGCATCTTCTACTCTCTACTATATTCCGTATTGACACTTCATGTTTTTAATGTATGGTTTGTGATGATTTGTGGATAAAGTTTGTGTATGTGTATGTGTGTGTGTGTGCGTGTGTGTGTGTGTGTGTGTGTGTGTGTGTGTGTGTGTGTGAGAGAGAGAGAGAGAGAGAGAGAGAGAGAGAGAGAATTTTTGTTTTTTTGAAAACCACACACAACCCGTCAGTCTGCCAAGGTTGCAGGGTCGGCGTGACTAAAGTCGACCACTTTTTTCAGGTGTAGCTCTGGGCAGAGTGGTGAGTCCTTATCCATTAGTCAAATGCATCCTGGGTGGGTTATTGGGCTTCAACCGCCTGACGAGTCGGTGAAAGTCCGATGGAAGAGGAGGGCACAGTCATGCTTTTCTTTGTGGAGTTGTGCATAAGGAACATGACAACACACACAGATTGCGCGTCCATGGCTGAGTGCGTGTGTAGAGTGGGTTCTATGGCTATGCTGAATTAGTTTCTCAGACTTGCTGCAGCCATGTCCGGGGTTTGGACGGAGTGTGCTAGGGTTGCTGGGTTGGTGTGAGTAAAGGCGGCCACTTTTCCGAGGGGGAATCGCTAACTCTGGGTTGGGCAGTCCTTACGCATGAGTCAAATGAATAATGGGTAGACTGTTGGGGTTCAACCTCCTCATGAGTCCGTGAAAGTCTGACGAAACATTCTGGGACAGTCATGCTTCTTTTGGTGGATAGTGTACAGCGAACATGACAACGTGCACGTGTCTATGTTTGCATGAGAGAGAGGGATAGGGAGCGTGCCTGTTTCATTGCTGTTCAGGATTTAGGGCTTGTGTTGGCAGAAATTAGGAAGTGTGTGAGTCGTGTTGTGGAGGGTGCTCTATGTGGATAAGTAGGAGGGGGGTGATGGGGAGGGGTATATGCAGGAGATGGAAGCTTGTGTGCATGAGACAGAAGGAGATGGAGAGCATTCCTTTTGTTGTGTTCAAGGGCTTAGGCCTTGTCGTGGAAAACATTTTGTGCAGATGAGGTATGTGTGGTTGTAGGAAGTGGGCAATGTATTTTGAGGAGGGTGTGCTATGTGGATAAGGAGGAAGAGGGTGAGGAGGAGTGTGTGCAATAGATTGAGGAGGGTGGAAGGAGGGAGGTGCAGGGCAGCTGGAACTGCTATCATCGATTCAATTTGTGCTTTGATTTCCGAAAGTTCTTTTTTTGCGGGTGCAGCCCAGACAGTTTTTCTAGTATTTAATCAGTTTTGCCAAAGCATTTTCTTGGCGGTGTGGGCTTCGCACAGTGCTCCAACATTTGTTGGTATTGCACGAGGATGAGCAGTGCCAGTTATGCTTTTTCAACAGGCTGACCCATTTTGTTATGGGAGTTGCGCAGTGGTCATTGCCCTCTATTGTGCTCTAACACTTTCTGTGAGCAGAATGGTACCTTGTGTGTTCCCTTGTGACTTAAGGTATCAAGCCTTCTGTGAGCAGAATGGTACCGTCCTTACAGGCCCCTTGTCATGAACTGCACAAGGGTTTCGATTAGGGTGGCGACTCTACTCGCATGGTCTCGCGATTGGTGTCATGGAGTACGCTTATTCTGTCCTCGGCATGTCAATGGTCCAAATCATGCGACCACCTGATGGGAAACAAAAAGCGAGCACATCAGATGCTCAGGCTGTTCTTAGGTCTTACATCGGCTGTGATGTGAAAGATTGAATGAAAGTGCCTGGAGGATGACTCGTTTGACTATAGCACATCTGCACACTTGATGAGTGGCATGTTAGTGTGAGAGTTAGGACAAGGATGTACTACCTGGTTACCCGGTGATTGCCCTGCCAATTTGATCACATTTTCCAGAAGGCCTGCATGATCTTATTTGTAAAGCCTGGGGACAGTTTAAGAAAGGCCAGATTCACATGCGGCAGCATGCCCTTTTTGCAGGGTTTATATCATGGTAACCAACCGGATGTACAGACCGGGTTCCAGACAGTCCGGAACAACATGTGGGGGTTCCGGTATCCAGTGCCTGATGTCCGGAGGGAGGTCCCCAGGACAAAATTTAAAAAAAAAAGGGGCGGCGCAGGATGTTCTTCGGGTCCTGGCTGCCCCCTGGAAAATAACGGGGTGATTTTTCGTTGTCGTTTCACCCCACCGGACAGGGCGCAGAGGCCCAGACACAAGACCCTGCAGGTTTTTGGGGTGGCGGGTTTCACAGATGCTCGCACGACTTCAAAGCAGGGTTTCAAAGTACCGCCCGCTGCTGCTGCCCATTGTTGAAGTGCCTTTCTTGCTGCCTCCATTGAAGTCCCGCCTGCCCTCATCGCCAGCAGCCATCGCAGCCTCAAGGACGAAGAAAGAGCTGGCAACGACGAACCTGGAAGCCAACGAAGTGGGCCACCAGCCGCCAGGTCAGTCTTTCGCTCTCTCTCGTTGTTTTCTCTCTCTTTTCTCTCTCTCTCTCGTTATTGCAACCTTCTCGAGGCTGTCTCTTATACACATCTAGATGTGTATAAGAGACAGCACACACACACACACACACACATGCAGCTCTCTCTCTCTCTCTCACACACACACACACACACCCACACACACACACACACACCCACACCCACACACCCACACCCACATACACACCAACCCACACA